CATGATGAACCTGGGCAGCATGGTGAAACCTTGTCTCTACAAAAAAACACAAAAATTAGTTGGGTGTGGTGCTGGGCACCTGTAGTCCCAGCTACTTGGGAGGGGTTGAGACAGGAGCATAGCTTGAACCCAGGAGGTCGAGGCTACAGTGAGCCAAGATCACGCCACTGCACTCCAGCCTGGGTGACAAAGTGAGGCCCTGTCTCAAGAAAAAAAAAAATACAGAAGAGAAAAGCACAATATAGACATTATATGGAGAAAGCTGTGTGTCTTTCCCCTCTATCCCTTTAAACCCTCTCTCATTGTCTTAGGGAAACCACTATTAATGCTTTCTTAATTTTTAGGAATTTTATTGTATAGTAAATGCAAAATGGAAGCATCTTCAACTTACATCTGCAAGTGCCACTTAATACTATATGTTTTTATCTTATGCACTTTCAAGGAAAATTGCATTTACTGGTATTGTTATTTTTCTTGTTTAAAGTGAGTTTGCTTCTTTTTAATCTTTGAAGGATGTGAAAAAGTGCTTTTATGTTTATCATTATTTATAGAGTATGCTTTATTAATTTCTTTTTCTTTTTCTTTTTTTTTTTTTTTTTGAGATTGAGTCTTGCCGTATTGCCTAGGCTGGAGTAGAGTGGCGTGATCTTGGCTCACTGCAATCTCCTCCACCTCCTGGGTTCAAGCGATTCTCCTGCCTCAGCCTCCTGAGGTGCTGCCACCACACCCACCTTTTTTTTTTTTTTTTTTTTTGGATTGTTAGTAGAGACATGGTTTCACCATGTTGGCCAGGCTAGTCTTGAACTCCTGACCTCAGATGATCCGCCTGCCTTGGCCTCCCAGAGAGCTGGGATTTACAGGCGTGAGCCACCACTCCTGGCCAATATATTTGTATTTTTTATGTTCGTAAGTTCACGTCATTCAAAAATCTTTATATCCGGTTTCTACCTATTTGAGATCATATCCTATGAATTGGTTTTTAAATTTAAAAAAATCATATTGGGGAGAAAATTATTCTGTAATGTTTGTTCAAGAAAGCAGCAAACTAGACTGAGCGCAGCGGCTCACGCCTGCAATCTCAGCACTCTGGGAGGCTGAGGCTGGCGGATCACTTAAGGCCAGGAGTTCAAGACCAACCTGGCCAACATGACGAAACCCCGTCTCTACTAAAAATACAAAGATTAGCCGGATATGGTGTCGTGCACCTGTAGTCCCAGATGCTCAGGAGGCCGAGGTGGGAGAATCACTGGAACCTGGGAGGCAGAGGTTGCAGTGAGCCGAGATTGCACCACTGCACTCCAGCAAGTGCAGTGAGACCCAGCCTCTAAAATAAACAAAGCAGCAAACTAATTTTTTAAGCAAAAAAAAAAAAAAAAAAGGCTACCAGTATCGTGTGAAATTTAGAGCCCTACTTCTAAAATACTGTTGCTGCATAAGAATAGGAGTTTGTATTGTTGTATTATGAAATCCATATGTTCATTTCGTGAAGTACTGGGGAATTTGCTCTGATGAGAGTTTCTCTTGTCCCTTGTTTAAATTCCTGGTCCCCCCTTTTAATACTTGGAGTTGCTCTCTGTTTTCCTCTTAATGTTTACCTGGTGGTATCTGGGTCCTTAAGCAAGTCTGCCAAGCAGATTAGAAATACTGTTGTAGGAAATCATCTAGTGTTTCTAAAGAGATCCCCAAGAAGAGGTTCGCACTAGCCCATCAGCATCTGGACCTTTATGTCCAGAAGCACTAAGATTCTGGGCATTTATGCTAGCCATTTGGAATCCCAGCACATTACTGATCTCGGAAAAGGCAAAAAAGATCTATGTGTAGGTCAGTTAGAGAGCAAAAGTAGCTGCGCACGGTGGCTCACGCTTGAAATCTCAGCACTTCATGAGGTCAAGGCGGGAGGATCACTTGAGGCCAGGAGTTCAAGGCCAGCCTGGGCAACATGGCAAAACTCATTCTCTGCAGAAAATACAAAAATTAACCAGTTATGGTGGTGTGCATATGTGGTCCCAGCTAATCTGGAGGCTGAGGTGGGAGAATCATTAGAGCTCTGGGGGTCAAGGCTGCAGTGAGCCGTGATCACACCAGTATACTCCAGCCTGGGCAACAGAGTGAGACCCTGTCTCAAAAATAAAAAGAGAACAAAAGTGTAAAGGGTATGCTGTGATAGAACTGGCCAGAGGTAAGATAACCAGTTATAAAAGGGATTGTGCAGAAAGAAGGGGCAGGAATTCAGAAGGCTACCTTCTGTATGATTCCATACATACGATGTTCTAGAAAAGGCAAAACTGAGGGACAAGGAACACAGCAGTGGTTGCTAGAGGTGGGGGGAGAGGTTGATTATAAAAGGAGGAACTTCAAGGGGTGAAGAAACTGTTGTGGTGGTGGTTACATGAGTTTAGGCGTTTGTCAAAACTCATAGTACTGTCTGCCAAAAAAGTACGTTTTATTGTACATAGATGTGAACAAAAACCAAGAAGATGAAGGAAACGCAGTTTGTCATTTGATAATGGTTACATAAAGTTCAGAAGAGGGCTGAGCGCAATGGCTCACACCTGTAATCCCACCGCTTTGGGAGACCAAGGCAGGCAAATCACTTGAGGTCAGGAATTCAAAACCAGCCTGGCCAACATGGTGAAACCTCATCTCTACTAAAAATACAAAAAATTAGCTGGGTGTTGTGGTGTGCGTCTGTTGTCTCAGCTACTAGAGAGGCTGAGGCAGGAGAATTGCTTGAACCCAGGAGGCGGAGGTTGCAGTGAGCCGGGATTGCACCACTGCACTCCAGCCTGGGCAACACAGTGAGGCTCTGTCTCAAAAAAAAAAAAAAAAAAAGTTCAGAAGAGGATGAGTCTCATCCAGGTTCTGTTCTTTAAAATCTTATTTTCAGTGGTTATGGGGAATTACCTTATCTGTAGAGGGATACTAAAACATGCACTTTTAGATATTTTGGCTATTGTTCAAATATAAAAATAGGCCAGGCGCAGTGGCTCACACTTGTAATTCCAGCACTTTGGGAGGCCAAGGTGGGCAGATCACTTGAGGTCAGGGGTTCAAGACCAGCCTGGCCAACATGGCGAAACCCTGTCTCTACTAAAAATACAAAAATTAACCTTGCATAGTGGCACACCGTGTAGTCCCAGCTACTCAGGAGGCTGAGGCAGGAGAGTCACTTGAACCTGGGAGGTGGAGGTTGCAGTCAGCCGAAATGGTGCCACTGCACTCCAGCCTGCGCGACAGACTGAGACTCTCTCAAAAAAGTGTGTGTGTGTAGAAATTGTTCAGATAGTTCAGAAGGTTATACAATGAAAAGAAAAAACCTTTACTCCCACCCAGGCCCAGTCATGTTCCCCAGATGTCATCACTCTTTAACATTTTCCTCTGTATACGTATATATAGTGCTGTTCTGTGCTGGCTTTTTTACAGAATTTATCTCGGAGATGTCAGCACATCAGTGCATGTAAATCTACCTCATTCTTTTTATTGAGTGCATATTTTCTGATGTGGAGTATTTCCTAATTTATGTGAGCAATCTGCATTAATGGCTGTTCGAATGGCCTGTGCCAGGAGAAGACTGGAAACAAGACAGCAGTGAATATTTGTGTGCATTCAACTTTGTGACCTGTCTAAATATAGCTGGCGATAGGACATCACCGCAAGTGTCATTATTGGGCTGAAGTCATACACGGTTTCCATTTTGATATGGATGATGCCATACCGCCCTCGAGGGAGGTCAACAAATTTGTATTCCTATTAGCTGGCATATGGGAGTTCAACATGCACATAGAGATTTGTGAGTAGGGCCAGTTGCAGTGGCTTACACCTATAATCCCAGCACTTTGAGAGGCTGAAGTGGGAGCATTGCTTGAGGCCAGGAGTTTCAGACCAACTTGGGCAACATAGCAAGACTCCATCTCTACAAAAAATTTTTAAAAATTAACCGTGCAAGATGATGTATGCCTCTAGTCCCAGCTTCTTAGGGGACTGAGGTGGGACAATCACCTGAGCCCAGGAATTTGAGGCTACCGTGAGCTCTCGCACCACCACACTCCAGCCTGGGTGACGGGGCAAGACCCAGTCTCAAAAAAACAAAGAAAAAAATTCATGAGTAAAGTATAGTTTGTGACTTGAGTCAAATTTATCCTCACTTTCTGAAAGCATTCATAATAGAAATTTAATTATAAGATGAAAATTAGCAAATTATGTGTTAATAAAGTTGGTATTCTGAGGTTTGTGGGGGCAACTTAAAAAATCTTGATTTTTAAAGTTAATTTTTACAAATCTTGATTTTTAATTTACTTGAGGAGTAAAATTTTTTTAAAGAAATTATTTCATTTTCCCTGTATTTTTTAATATTTTTATTGTGGTAAAACATGTAAAAATATACATAAAATTTGCCATTTAAACTATCTTAAATGCATAATTCAGTGGCATTATATTCACAGTGTTGTACAGTCATCACCACTATCTGTTTCCAAATCAAGCAATATTTTTTAAATTATGGCAAAATGTGCGTAACATAAAGCTAACGATTTTAACCATTTTTAAGCATACAGTTCAGTGGCATTAAGTATATTCACATTTTGGGGAAACATCACTACCATTCATCTTGAGAATTTCTTCATCTTCCCAAACTGAAACTCCTTACCCCAACCTCCCCTTTCCTCACCTCCTGGCAACCTCCATTCTGCTTTCTGTCTCTGTGGTTTTATCTACTTTAGGTATCCATGTATATTTTTTCTATGTCAAAAATTGCTTTGAAAAACACATAGCACAGATTGCAAAGATAAATGTGGGCTCTCTTATAAGAATGCCACAAATTTTACATTTTTCTTTGCTTCTGCTTCTCGGAGTGCATGCTGTTGTCATGGAAAGCAGACATTCTGTGGTAGCCCAGGTTCTGGAACAGTGCCTAGAATAGCTGCTCACCGTGTGTTTGCCAGGTGAACTGATGGATATATGAAAACAGTATACTGTGTGACAACACTTTTGTTATTCCATAGGACGTGGACATCTTCCAGCAACAGATCTCGAGAAGACAGCTGGCTAAAATCCTTATTTGTCCGGAAAGTTGATCCAAGAAAAGATGCCCACTCCAATCTCCTAGCCAAAAAGGAAACAAGCAATCTATACAAATTACAGTGTGAGTGACAGGTTTGCTATCTTCATAGTTGACTTTTTTTTCCGTTTGTTCCTAAGTTTATCGTTGAATTTTCTTTTGTTTCAGTTCACAATGTTAAACCGGAATGCCTAGAAGCATACAACAAAATTTGGTGTGTATACCAAACTCTCCTTTCCTTGGGGAAAATAATGACTTTATTTGTGAGTTAATTCCACTAACACTTGATAGCATAGAGAGAGAGCTTTTCATCCCTCTCTTTTGAAGTTGAACATTCAGAGGCTCTTAAACTGAGCTTCGTGTGGGATTGCCAAAGGCATTTTGATTTTAAGCACTCACACAGCTAAATCATCACATAGGCTATCAGACTTTAGAATGTTACCAGACTCTTATGTTTGGAGGAACTTTGCCAGGCTGTCTAGTCCATCTGCTTATCCAATGCTGGAGTCCTTTCCACAGACCTTCCTCACTGCCTGTCCTGAAGTAAGTTCCATCTCTGGACAGCTCTAAGTGTTAGGAGTAAGAATTCACATCTCTGAGTCCTTCATTGATTCCCCTTAGTAAAACTGCCCTGTGAGAGTACTGTGTGTATTTGAACATAGCTGCCATTTCTTCCCAACTCCTCTGTTCTCCAGGATCCAAGTCCCTTCTGCTGATTCTCCTATGATTTGAGATCTAAACCTGCTTACAGAATTTGTAAACTTAAAACGAAAGGGAGAACTAAGCTTACTGGCTTTTAAGTTAACAGAAATAGTATTTTAATAATCCATTGTGAGCAAATGTGAAGAAAAAGGTTTTTTTTTAACCTTTAATATCTACTACTTTCATAAGAAAGCAAACAATTTTGTCCCTATAATCAGCATACTTTTTAGAAGAAAAACTTTTTGTTGTTTATTGTTTTGTTTTTGAAGATAGCTTATGAAATGTAATAATAGTATTGAATTTCTTACTCATTCCAGCACCTCTTTATTAAAAAATGCCCTTAAAGCAGATATTTATTTTTAAGTCTTTTCTCATAAAATGGAATTTTTCCCTATGCTGATGTTTTCCTGGATTTTACCTTTTCTGTCCTGTTTTATCACTTCATCTCCTGTCTTGGATTTCTGGCTGTCTTCATATTTCTATTTGATGTCGTGCTTTCACTTCACACTCAGCATGTGGAATCACCTTGCTCTTCCAACTTCCCTATCTGTGCCACTCACCTTGTTTTACTCAGCCCGTTCCTTAGTTGTCTGTCACCTAGAGCCGTGCATTCTTCATCGGACATGTATTTTGGTTCTCTTGTTTCCTTCTCCATCTCCCTCTCCAAGCCTCTTGAGCCCCATTCCCAAATGCCTTTTTTTCTGACTACCTTTCTGGGCTCCAAGCTATACCTGTATCTCTTCCCTGCCCTGCAATACATTACCCCAAAGTTTGTCAGATTGATCTGCTTGAGTTCTGCTTTCTTTTTTCATCACATTTTTTCTTTTCTCTGAAACTTTCAGCAGCTCCCTGTTTCCAGAACATAAAGACTTAACTCCTGCCTGGTTTTTAGGGGTCCCAATAATGGGATTCTGCCCAACCCATCCAGTTCTGGGTACAAGTACTGCCTGCCTTACAATCTCCATTCAGGTAAGGCCAGGACTCCCAAGAGCAGGTTTGGGGTCCCCAGCAAAGAGGAGTGGCTTCAAATCCATGTGTAACTTTGTGTTGGTGAAAAACCTAGGCCCTGTTGCCAGACCCCTCTCTGGACCCCACCTGAGTCATGTGTACTGGGCTTCCTTCCTGGACACTGCCTCCAATGCAGGGTTGTCTCTTCCTGCTCATGTCATGCGACCAAAGGGAAATGTTGGACATACATTGCCCTAGCAGAATCCCTCTTTCCCTGTCTTCGATTTTCATGGATCCCATGTTATTTCTTTTTTTTTTTTCTTTGAGACAGAGTCTCACTCTGTCACCCAGGCTGGAGTGCAGTGGCACGATCTCAGCTCATTGCAAGCTCTGCCTCCCAGGTTCACACCATTCTCCTGCCTCAGCCTCCCGAGTAGCTGGGACTACAGGCGCCCGCCACCACGCCCAGCTAATTTCTTTTTGTATTTTTAATAGAGACGGGGTTTCACCATGTTAGCCGGATGGTCTCGATCTCCTGACCTCGTTATCCGCCCGCCTCAGCCTCCCAAAGTGCTGGGATTACAGGCGTGAGCCACCATGCCCGGCCGATCCCATGTTATTTCTGAACATTCATGAGTCACGCATTAGATACATTTAATATCAGATCCTAATTTAAAAAGTAAAATGCTACTCTTCCAAAAGTACACATGATGTAGTCACTATACTGGGTCATAAAGATGTATGGGTTTTCAGTTAGTTAGACGTAGACCATTTGGAACTTTTCTCTGTTAACCATTTATATATCCCTGGTCCTACGGAGGTCCAGTGGCGCAATTGGTTAGCACATGGTACTTATATACTCTCGGTCCTGTAGCCCCAGTGTCTGGTGGTGATCACTAGCTAAATATCAGTATCAGCATATAATGTGAACAGGTTCCATTTCTTGCCCTTGATCCCCTTTTGCATTCATTGTTGGATTTGTATGATACTTTTTCATCATAATTTTTCTATTCAGAAAGTGTGCAGGTTTTAGCTTTTCTCTTGGTATAAAACAGTTAACACTCTTCCCTTTGCCTTTCCCTGTACATTAGAGTCTATACCGTAAGAAAGCTTCTATGGAACCAAGCTCCACTCTGACACCCCTGTTAAATTCATACACTGCCGTGACCTGTCACGGCTTTGCCCCTGTCCCCGCACAGTGAGTGGAAATGAGTTCGTGTGTTCGGTGCGAGACTACATGACACCCCACCCATCCCCTTGGCCCACTGAATTGAGTAGAACGTAATTTATGCTTCGCGTTGTATCTTTAATTTTTATTCTTCTGCCATGTTGATGCCCTTGGGGACTGTTGGAGGTCAGGGTCGCTTCCAGACTGTTGTGTTCCAGCTCTGTCTTCTTGCTCCTTCCTGAAGGCCAGCTTGTTTTCTGCTCTTGTTACCTCTGCCTGCTGATGCTGCTTGTGTTGTCTGCCTCTGTCTTGAACACTACTTTCTTCCCTTTCCATCTTTCTTATTTCTTCCGTGTTCTTTTCTACTATTGCCCTCTCATTCTTCCTGTCTTTGGAACCAACAGAATGTTTTTTGGTGATGTTGTTTTTTTTTCCCCCTCAAATGGAAAATAGTAGTCACGTAACTCCCAAAATCCTGGGACCTTTGGTTTTTCTTTATCATCTTTATACTGGTTCAGCAACTCCTCTAGATAGTTGGGGTATCAGAAACCTAAGCTTCTGATCAGCAGGGTGTTGGAGTACAACAGAATTCAGCCAAAAGGTTAATTCCACATGCCGTTTTATCATGAGGATGTGCTAAGGTCAGTTGTTAGAACACAGAGTAGGTGGTCTTTTTCCTGTTACTGATCAGGTGCTGTCCACCTGGTCAAATTTTGCTGGTTGTTTAATTAGTGTTGCTGTTTCTTCTCTTTAAGTCAAGAGGTGTTGCCAAAGATTCACGAAGATAAACACTACCCTTGTACTTTGGTGGGGACTTGGAACACGTGGTATGGCGAGCAGGACCAAGCTGGTAGGAAGCGAAGTCTTTGGAATAAACACTTCTTCCTTAAGCCTTATGTAACACTTAAGTAATTTTCTAATTTAATGCTTGTTCTTATCATTAAAGCTTTCCAAGTCTCAGTCTAATTTTATGATTAAAGTAGTTTCTTCAACAATTCATTGCAAAAACAGTTTTAAAATTGTTTTTAATGTTTGAATCTATTATTGAATCATTATGATGTAACTCATAGGCCAAAACATGGGGTATTACAGTTTTTTTGTTTTTTTTGTTTTTTGAGATGGAGTCTCGCTCTGTTGCCCAGGCTGGAGTGCAGTGATATGTATCTAGGCTCATTGCAACCTCTGCCTCCCGGGTTTAAGCGATTCTCCTGCCTTAGCCTCCCAAGTAGCTGGAATTACAGGTGCCCACTACCACACCCAGCTAATTTTTGTATATTTAGTAGAGACGGGGTTTCACCTTGTTGGCCAGGCTGGTCTGGAACTTCTGACCTCAAGTGATCGCCTGCCTCAGCCTCCCAAAGTGCTGGGATTACAGGTGTGAGCCACTGCACCCAGCCTACAGTTCTGTCCTGTGTTAACATTATACCTATCTAGAATATTTTCAAGTAGTATCATGAAATTCTAAATGTATACTATCTTTTAAAATGCATTTCAGTCCACCTCTGGAGGTATGAAGGAGGCTATCCAGCCCTCACAGAAGTCATGAATAAACTCAGAGAAAATAAGGTAATGATTTTGAAAAATGTTTACAGACTAATGATACATAGATGTTAGTATGGAATTAAATGACTTTTCTGTCTTCAGTTTTTGTTAATAAACTTCTTTTTTTGTAACAGAAATTGTATTGTTTGGACTCCTGAAGTTGTATTTAAATATAAACAGTTGTAATACTATTAAAATAACAATTCTGGCTGGGCGCGCTGGCACACGTCTGTAATCCCGGCCCTTTGGGAGGCCAAGGTAGGCAGATCACAAGGTCAGGAGATGGAGACCATCCTGGCTAACACAGTGAAACTCCGTCTCTACTAAAAAAATACAAAAAACTTAGCCGGGCGTGATGGTGGGTGCCTGTGGTCCCAGCTACTCAGGAGGCTGAGGCAGGAGAATGGCGTGAACCCGGGAGGCGGAGCTTGCAGTCAGCCGAGATTGCGCCACTGCACTCCAGCCTGGGCAACAGAGTGAGACTCCGTCTCAAAAAAAAAAAAAAAATCTTATTGTTCTTATTATAAAAGTCAATTATACTTTGAAACTGATAAGGTGGTACTTTGAAACTGGTGACTGGGCTGGGTGCGGTAGCTCACGCCTATAATCCCAGCCCTTTGGGAGGCCAACGCAGGCATATCAGTTGAGGCCACGAGTTTGAGACCAGCCTGTACAACATGGCAAAACCTTATCTCTACTGAAAATACAAAAATTAGCCGAGCGTGGTGGTGCACGCCTGTAATCCCAGCTACTCGGGAGGCTGAGGCACGAGAATTGCTTGAACCCAGGAGGCAGAGGTTGCAGTGAGCCGAGATCACACCACTGCACTACAGCCTAGGCAACAGAGTGAGAATCTGCCTCAAAAAAAAAAACCAAAAGAACAAAAAAACTGGTGACTGGTGTATCAATCAGCATGGCACACACAATTAGCCCTCGATGACCTAAAACTGTCTACTTCAGGAACTGTCTGTCACACACATAGAATTTATCTTGGGCTGACTTTGCTTTCCACCCACCCTTCACTAGCAGGTGCTTGTCGGTAGGGAGAAATTTAAAAGCCACACATCATTAAGAAAGAAAATCTTTCGTATAGATTCCCAGACAAATATAAATAGCTTTTGAATTATCTGCTCTTTTGTAGTCTGCATGCCACTTCTGTTGATGTGCCATCAAACACTATTAGAAGAATCTAAAAGTATAGCAAGTTAAATTTGTTTGCATTGCCACCTAAATAATTAGGATGACCAAGTAATTTGTCATCTAAACCTGGACACTTTTGAGAATGAAAAGGAATGCTGTTAATGATTATGCAAGCTCAACAGATATAAACTGGGACTGTCTCAGGCCATCTGGGACCTGTTGGTTACCCTATTACAGTATTCTGTAGGAACATAAATGTTACTGAAATGGACTTATGTAAGTATCAGAAGATTTCATGAGCATATTTTTTTCACTCAAAGGAATTTTTGGAATTTCGTAAGGCAAGAAGTGACATGCTTCTCTCCAGGAAGAATCAGCTCCTGTTGGAGTTCAGTTTCTGGAATGAGCCTGTCCCACGATCAGGCCCTAATATATATGAACTCAGGTCTTACCAACTCCGAGTAAGTACACAAATAGAAGTTTTTCCTTTTGCTCCTCTGTGAAGAAGCACAAGCACTTTGTAAGGCTGACAACAGAACTTGTGTGTATATTCTGTGATGTGTGTTTAGCATTCTATATATATATATTTTTTTAAGACCGGGTCTCACACTGTCACCAAGGCTAAGCTCTTTTGCTTTTTATGGCCTTACACATAATGCTTATTATTTGAGATTTTTCTAAATAACATTTCTGTTTTTAAGAAGAAGGACTGGCCGGGTGCGGTGGCTCACACCTGTAATCCCAGCACTTTGGGAGGCCGAGGTGGGCGGATCACGAGGTCAGGAGATCGAAACTATCCTGGCTAACACGGTGAAACCCGTCTCTACTAAAAATACAAAAAATTAGCCGGGCGTGGTGGTGAGCGCCTGTAGTCCCAGCTACTCGGGAGGCTGAGGCAGGAGAATGGCGTGAACCCGGGAGGCGGAGCTTGCAGTGAACCGAGATTGCGCCATTACACTCCAGCCTGGGCGACGAGCAAGACTCTGTCTCAAAAAAAAAAAAGAAGAAGGACCTAAAGTGCAGGATAAGGTACAATATGTAACATCTATTGTGGTTAAATGAGAGCAGCTAATAAACACTGTGACTGTTGAACAAATTATACAACATAAGAGTAAGGCAATAATATTTTATAACACTTTCTAGAAATTTTCCTACTGAGAACTAGAAAGAAAGCCCCATGTAGCAGCATTATTAAAGTGGCTAACGCCTGTAATCCCAGGACTTTGGGAGGCCAAGGTTGGAGGATCGCTTGAGCCAGGAAGTTTGAGACAAGCCTGAACAACATAGTGAGACCCTGTCTCTATTAAATTAAAAAATAAAGTTCTGGCTGGGTGCGGTGGCTCATGCCTGTAATCCCAGCACTTTGGGAAGTCAAGGCAGGTGGGTGACCTAAAGTCAGGAATTTGAGACCAGCCTGGCCGACATGGTGAAACCCCATCTCTTACTAAAAATACAAAAAATTAGCCAGGCCTGGTGGCGGGTGCCTGTAATCTCAGCTACTCGGAAGGCTGAGGCAGGAGAATTACTTGAACCCAGGAGGCAGAGGTTGCAGGAGCTGAGATTGAGCCACTGCTCTCTGGTGTGGGCAACAGAGCAAGATTCTGTCTCAAAAAAAAAAAGGGGGGTTTTGAGGTTAGTTTTGTCACTTAATGTTTTTTCTACTGCTGTTTGCTATTTCTGTATTTTTTTTTCACAGAAGAACTAACAAACCAAATCTAAATCTGTTTTCAGCCAGGAACCATGATTGAATGGGGCAATTACTGGTGAGTATATTACTGAATGGTGACTTTTTAAGTCTTGTGAATAGATTAGTTTAGGCCATAGTGTTAATTCTAGGGAAAAAAATCTGAAGATGATACCATGATTTGACACTACACTAATGTTTTATTGGATGTTTTTATTATGAGATTTTTCAAACATACAAAACAAGAGAGAATAATGGGGCTCCCATTCCACATCCATTGCTTAGCTTCAGTAGTTAACACATGGCCAATCTCGTTTAGGCCTAACTCCTTCAACCCAGATTGTTTGGAATTAAATCCCAGACAGCATTCTGTTTCATTCATAAATATTTCAGTACTGTATATATTTCTGAAAGGTTGCACCTTTTTTTAAAAGCAAAGCCAGTATTGCATAAAGTTAGTTTACATACTTCTTGGATATCATCTTTTCTGAAACATTACTTCTGTCACATATACACATCACATCAGTAATAGTTTCTTTTTTTTCCTTGCTAGTTTGAGTAGAAAAATAGGAATTTTTCCACAAGTTGATCTGTAGATTCAACAGAATCCCTATCAAAGTCCCAGCAGGCTTTAGAAATGCGAAAGACTAGCCAGGTGCAGTGCGGCTCATGCCTGTAATCCCAGCACTTTGGGAAGCCAAGGCAGGAGAATCACTTGAGTCCACGAGTTCAAGACAATCCTGGGCAACATAGCAAGACCCCACTGCCTCTACCAAAATAAATAAATTAATTAAACTAGCCAGGTGTGATGCCACATGCCTGAGGTCCCAGCTATTTGGGAGACTGAGTGGGAGAATTGCTTAAGCCCAGAAGATGGAGTTTGCAGTGAGCCAAGATTGCACCACTGCACTCCAACCCGGACAATAGAGTGAGACCCTGTCTCAAAAAAAAAAAAAATAGTCCGGGCATGTTGGCTCACACCTGTAATCTCAGCACATTGGGAGGCTGAGGTGGGCAGATCACCTGAAGTTAGGAGTTCGAGACCAGCCTCGCCAACATTGTGAAACCCCATCTCTACTAAAAATACAAAAATTAGCCAAGCATGGCGGTGCACTCCTATAATCCCAGCTACTTGGGAGGCTGAGGCAGGAGAATTGCTTGAACCCAGGAGGCAGGGTTGCAGTGAGCTGAGATCGCACTACTGTGCTCCAGCCTAGGTGACAGAGTGAGACTCTTTTTCAAAAAAATAAAACTAAAAAGGCTGGGCATGATGGCTCATGCCTGTAATTCCAGCACTTTGGGGAGGCTGAGGGAGGAGGATTGCTTCAGTCCAGATGTTTGAGACTTTGAGACCAGCCTGGGCAACATGACGAAACCCTGACTACAAAAAAATACAAAAAGTAACCAGGCATGATGGCACACACTTGTAGTCCCAGCTCCTCAGGAGGCTGAGGTGGGAGAATCACCTGAGCCTGAAAGGTCAAGGCTACAGTGAGCCATGATTGTGCTAGTACTTTCCAGCCAGGAGAGAATAAGACTCTGTCTCAAAAAAATAAAAAATTAGGGCAGGGATGGTGGCTTACACCTGTCAATCCCAGCAGTTTGGGAGGCCAAGGTGGAAAGATCACTTGAGGTCAGGAGGTTGAGACCAGCCTAACCAACTTGGTGAAACCCTGTCTTTACTAAAAATACAAAAATTAGCCAGATATGGTGGTGTGCACCTGTAGTTCCAGCTACTCAGGAGGCTGAGGCAGGAGAATCACTTGAACCTGGGAGACACAGGTTGTAGTGAGCCGAGATCACCCCATTGCACTATAGCCTGGGTGAGAGCAAGACTGTCTCAAAACATAACAAAACAAAAAATGCCTTACTCTCAGTGATACAAAAAAAATTTTTTTTAATTAAAAACAGGCCAGGCATGGTGGCTCACACCTGTAATCCCAGCACTTTGGGAGGCCAAGGCAGGCGGATCACAAGGTCAGGAGATCAAGACCATCCTGGCTAACACAGTGAAACCCCATCTCTACTAAAAAATAAGCTGGGCGTGGTGGTGGGTGCCTGTAATCCCAGTTACTTGGGAGGCTGAGGCGGGAAAATGGTGTGAACCCGGGAGGCAGAGCTTGCAGTGAGCCAAGATCGTGCCACTGTACTCCAGCCTGGGCGACAGACCAAGACTCCATCTCAAAAAAAAAAAAAAAAAAAAAAAGACAAGTCACATACTGGAATAAAATATTTGCAAATCATATATCTGATAAGCAAATTAAATTCAGACTGTATAAAGAATTCTTACAACTCAATAAGAATACAGATAACCCAATTAAAAATGGGTAAAGAACTTGAAAAGACAGTGGCTGGGTGTGGTGGCTCACACTTGTAATCCTAGCACTTTGGGAGGCCAAGGCAGGAGGATCTCTTGATCCTGGGAGTTGGTGACCAGCCTGGGCAACATGGCAAAATCCTGTCTCTACAAAAAAAAAAAGAAAAAAAAAAAACTTGCCGGGTGTGGTGGTGGCACATGCCTGTATTCTCAGCTATTCAGGAGGCTGAGGTTGGAGGATTGCTTGAGCCTGGGGAGGTGGAGACTGCCGTGAGCCATGATCATACCACTGCACTCCCAATGAGACCCTGTCTCACAAAAATAAATACATAAATAAATTGAAAATGGAACCAGGCGTGGTGGCTCACACCTGTAATCCCAGCACCTTGGGAGGCCGAGGTGGGTGGATCACAAGGTCAGGAGATTGAGTCTAGACCATCCTGGCTAACATGGTGAAACCCCGTCTCTACTAAAAATACAAAAAAAAAAATTAGTCGGGCGTGGTGGTGTGCGCCTGTAGTCCCAGCTACTCGGGAGGCTGAGGTAGGAGAATGGTGTGAACCCAGGAGGCGGAGCTTGCATTGACCGCAGATCGCGCTATTGCACTCCAGCCTGGGCGACAGAGCGAGACTCCGTCTCAAAGAAAATAAATAAAATAAAATAATAAAAATAAATAAATTGAAAATGGAATTCAGTGTGATTCAGCAGTCCCACTTCTGGGTATATATCTGAATTCAAAGCAGATCTCAAAAAGATTTGCATACCCATGTTTTTATCATAGCTTTATTTGCAGTAGCCAAGAGGTGGAAGCAACCAACATATCTATCAATAGATGATAAAGAAATTGTGGGCTGGATGCGGTGGCTCACACCTGTAATCCCAGCACTTTGGGAGGCCGAGGTGGGCTGATCACCCGAGCTCAGGAGTTTGAGACCAGTCTGGCCAACATGGTAAAACCCCATCTCTACTAAAAATTAAAAAATTAGCCGGGTCTGGTGGCACGTGCCTGTATTCCCAGCTACTCGAGAGGCTGAAGCAGGAGAATCGCTTGAACCCGGGGGGCGGAGGTTGCAGCAAGCTAAGATCATGCCACTGTACTCCAGCCTGGGCGACAGAGAAACCTTGTCTCAAAAAAAAAAAAAAAAAAGGTGTGGTCTATACATAGAATATTACACATCCTTAAAAAAGAAGGAAGTCTTAGATCGGGCGCAGTGGCTCACGCCTGTAATCCCAGCACTTTGGGAAGGCAAGCAGGCAGATCACGAGGTCAAGAGATCGAGACCATCCTGGCCAATGTGGTGAAACCCCGTCTCTATTAAAAATACAAAAATTAGCTGGGCCTGGTAGCGTGTGCCTGTAGTCCCAGCTACTTGGCAGGCTGAGACAGGAGAATCACTTGAACCCAGGAGGCAGAGGTTGCAGTGAGCCGAGATCGTGCCACTGCACTCCAACCTGGTGACTCCATCCCCGCCCCACCCCCACCTCACAAAAAAAGAAGGAAGTCCTGTCATGTGCTGCAATATGGTGAACCTTGAGGAGGATGTAATGCTAAGTGAAATAAGAGGACAAGTAGTGTATCATTCTCTTTATGCGAAGTATCCAGTGTTGCCAAAATCATAGAAACAGAAAGTAGAAACGTGGTTGCCAGGAGCTAGGCAGAGAGGGAATACGGAATTGGTGTTTAGTGAGTATAGAGTTTCAGTTTTACAAAATGAAAATGTTTTGGAGATGTGTGGTGTAACAGTATAAATATACTGGACACTACATAAAAATGGGTAAGATGGTAAATTCAATGTTATGTGTTTTTTACCACGATAAAAAAATGTTTAAAAAATTTTTAGGCCAGGTGCTCACAGCTACTTTGGGAGGCTGAGGTGGGCAGATCACCTGAGATCAGAAGTTTGAGACTGGCCTGGGCAACATGGTGAAACCCTGTCTCCACAAAAAATACAAAAATTAACCAGGTGTCGTGGTACATGCCTGTAATCTCAGCTGCTCGGGAGGCTGAGGCACGAGAATCACGAACCTGGAAGGCAGAGGTTGCAGTGAGCTGAGATTGTGCCACTGCACTTCAGCCTGGGCTACAGACCCTATATCAAAAAAAAAAAAAAAAAAAAAAAAATTCATAAAATAAACTTTAAAAATGTTTAACAGGCAAAGGATTTGAATGGGTATTTCACCAAAGAAAATACATGAATGCCCATAAGCTTATGAAAAGGGACTCAACCTCCTTAGTCGTTATGGAAATGCAAAGTGAAACTACAATGAGATACCAGTTCCTGCCCACTGGGACAGCTATAACTTAAAAGAGAGCGATAATAACATCTGTTAGTGAGGTGAGGAAAAAATGGACCCTTCCGATATTGCCGATGGGAATGTGAAATGGTGCAGTCACTTTGAAAACAGTCTAGTAGTCCCTCAAAATGGTAAACATGAAATTACATGTGGGCCAGACACAGTGGCTCAAGCCTGTAATTCCAGCACTTCACAAGGCTGAGGGGGCGGATCACCTGAGGTCAGGAATTCGAGACCAGCCTGACCAACGTGACAAGACCCCATCTGTGCTAAAAAATACCAAAAACGTAGCCGGGCGTGGTGATGGGCACCTGTAATCCCAGCTACTCAGGAGGCTGAGGCAGGAGAATCACTTGAACCCAGGAGGTGGAGGTTGCAGTGAGCCAAGATCGTGCCTCTGCACTCCAGCCCGAGTGACAGAGCAAGACTCCATCTCAAAAAAAGAAAAAAAAATTACATATGACCCA